ACAGCGATGCTATACGTTAACCACAATTGGGGTATTACTCACACACAGCGATGCTATACGTTAACCACAATTGGGGTATTACTTACACACAGCGATGCTATACGTTAACCACAATTCGGGTACAGTAAAAGCTCGTTATAGTAAGGCTTGATAAAGTGTTTTTTCTATATAGTGTTCAAAATATTTTTGTTTGGCAGCCACTGTATACCTGTAATGCTATTTATGCTCGATAAAGTGACTATATAGTGAATATTCGATATAGTGGTCAAAATTTTGCTATTTTTGGTTATATTTGGATATTGTAGTAGTATGTTTATGTTTGTAGAATACAGTATGTTATTAGTGTACAATAATTTATTTATGGCTTAAAATTATTGTGAATTGATTTCACAAATAAATGGCAAAATAAGAAAAATTGAAATTATTGAGAATTTTAATTTATACTTTATAAATATATTATTGTAACCCTATTTCCCTCAAACACTGCCGACAATAACAATGTACCAAAACTGACCTACTTTTGTCCCTATTTAAGTTTCATACTTACTACACATACAATCAGTCATTACAAAAATGTAATCTCAAACACACTCCTTGTGCCCACATTTAAAATTAAAATTTTAAATAAAATTAAAGTTTTCATGCAATTTGTGATTACTTTTACATATTTTTAAACTGTATAAAGCATTTGACATAAATATATTAAATTTTTTTTTTAAAATTTATATTATTTAAATTAATGTTTTTTATTTTATAGTTATAAGTGATTTATTTATATTTTATTATCGTAAGTATTGGGCATGATTGGACATGTTTGGGCATGATAGGGCGTGATTGGGCATTATTGGGCATGGTTTGGCATGATTGGCCATCCCAGTGGAAATCTTCCCGTGAAGCCATTTATTTTTATAAATGCCATTTTTCACATCATCCTCAATATCTGCAGTAACCCATAGCAACCAATATGTTTGGTTAAAATGATGTTTATTTATTTGTCCGTTATTCCTATCGTAAGTATTAATGAATTTATTATTGTGTGTGCTTTACACAACTTATTGTGAAATGGGTTAAATTGCACATAATTTAAACTGCAATTTGCTCACACAATTGATGTTTACACAATGTTTTTTAACATTATGTCTAAATGGCATAGGTTTATGTTTTGAGATTTGGTTCACACAAATGCTTAGTTCACAAAACTTATGGTTCACAAAACTTATGGTTCACATAAATCATGTTTAATTGTATACACATTATACTGTATAAAAAATTGATTTATTAAACAATCTTGCTTATCAAAATTGTATATACGTACATATCGTATATTCGAAATTAATGATGACTTTAGTTAATAAACCAAGTAACCAAAACACCCATGCTTAAAATGATCAAAAATTTTATTAAATTAAAAATGTTTTAATTAGTCTATTATTAAATACAATAACTTGTAAATTATAAAGGTGGGATCACGGCGTGTGAGAGATCCTGGATCAGGACTTGAAGGTTGGCCTGTTTAGCCTCTTCAAATGGTATTTTATCAATGGCCTTTTACAATTTTGGGAATTCAGCAGTCATAAATGCCTTTATCTAGTTAATTAGAATACAAAACTAATAATAAAGTATTGCCTTGATAATAACTGTTAAATAATATGTTAGGATCGTAAATATAAAATTACCCTGGCATGAAATGCGGTCCAAACTGGATGGCTAGCATTTTGAATCTCATCGTCCAATGAAAAATGCATAAAACCTTCCAGCGCTTTAATTCTACCAAGCAGGTTCTCGGACGACCCTGTTATATTCAACGGTGTGCTCAAACGGATTTTGTCCAACCGTTTGCTCAGGTAATTAAATCCGTGAACTTCACCAACAAATTGAGCGGTCACTCGCTCTCTAACACTCTCATTGGTTACGGCTTTAAACTGTTCAAAAATCCAGGGAATAGTTCCCATCGCAAACTCCTTAACGTCATCATACAATTTGATGGGTACAGTCAGGCCCTGTTTTTTGTACCGTTTCTCTGCCGCATCCATTATAGTACCGATGGGTAACACGAGGTTATATACTCTAAGTTGGACGGCATCGGTGTTGGCCTGTTCTCCGTAGTCAATGGGATTTTCCTCCGCAATCACTGAATGGTAGAAATGGTTTTGTATTAAAATTATAATTATATATAAATATTTGCTCTGTATTATAAACTTTACCTTGCACTATAATCAAGCAAATGCCAAAAACGATTGTGATCAGTGAATTCATTTTTAATGATGTAATTTAGATAATTGACTTTATCCAAACCGATTGTGATAAATTCAGTTTTAAACTCGTGTGTTTATATACTTTTATTCTGTTATATTGAATACTATTGATAGTAAATTAATTAATTATAATTAATGAAAATGACAACCAAACAGATGCACACTTGCATTAGCAAGTGCAATCTGTAATCCGGGATATTACTTTGTATAAGCAACTTAAACATATGGTTTAAACTTTAAACTGATAAATTTCCTAAAAACATAAATTTGAAAACAAATGTGATAATGGGAATAAAATTAATTTAGTTCTTAGCCTTAGAATGTACATGTATGCATTGGATTTTCTAACCTAAAATTAAAAGTTAAATATTAATTTATGATGATTAAAATATGTTTTATATATTGTACAATACTAAACGGAAAACATTCTTTTAAGCAATAACATTTGATTTTTTAAATTAATCTAAATAAATCATTAAGTACAAAACCAGTTGGACAATCGCACGACAAAGTAATTAAAATCTGATTAATTAATTTTGAAATGTAAGTAACTAAATTAAACATATTTAGATGATATGTTAAAAACAATTGTATAAATACTGATGAGTTTATTTATATTTAATCAATATAAAAATAAGTTTGCATTATTAAACTTTAAGTTTTAATTTAAAACAAAATTAAAAATTAAATCGAGCAATGTTTTTCATTAATATTCAATCATTATTAGTTGGCATTGTTTTTGCTATTGTTTCTTCTAATGGTAAGTATAAGAACTTAACTTATATTGTTAAAGTAATTTAATTTAATTTAGTTCTCTCTCTCACTCACTCACATATTAACCAATCTTTACAGTGCAATGTATGCCAGAACTTCCACCCCTCGATTTCCCCCACGTATTCAATGAACAGATTCACGTCAAAGACATCGAGATGTTTGTCAATACTCTGGCCGATAAAGCGCAGGGCACCTTACGGCCCGTAATTGAGCAAGATAACAAGCAGGGTTTAACCGTGGTGGCACAGTTCTACCAAGATTGTATCGATTCACTCAGACCAATCGTTCCCACAGTATTTGCCGAATGTGAAAAGATTCAAAATCCCATTGAACAACACACAGTGACTCAGGTGCTTGTTGGTCAGTTTTACGGTTTTACCTATATGTTTGAGCACGTGTCCGAACTGCGGGCCGTTAAGCCCCTGTCGGTCACCGGCAATGAGCACAACCTTATCAACCGATTGAAAGCAATGGAGAGTCGAGTGTTGGCCGCCGTCGAGAAGTCAAAGGTTGGGGGAATGAGATTGTTACAAAATCACCCCGTTTTGAATGCCTGGTACGATAAGGTGAGTTATTCTAGTTTTATTTAAGTAACTCTATTTGCAAAATATTTGTTATTATAATTAACAATAATATATTTTGTTGTTTTTAGCTCATTGCCTTTTTAACACCCGAGTTCAATAAATTAAATGAAGCGATCGGTAGTTTACCCTCAGCTGCACTCAGACAGCAAAATATTCAACAACTTATCCAAGATCTGACACATTTGACCCAAATGCCTTTTGTCCTTTAAATAGTGATATAACTTCTATTACACCATAATGTTTTAATTAGTCTATGTATTAAATATAATTATCATTTAATTAATTTTTTTAAATAAAATAATTTTAATTTGCATTTAAAATATTGGTATTTAAGTCAATTCAATTTGCTAAATAATGCTAATTATCTTCCAAGTTATGATTTATGCTGAATAAAAATTAAAAACAAATGTAAGAAATGGTTAATTGCAATAAAAGTAAATTATTTAATCATATCTAACAATAAAATAACATTTATATTTAGATGTTTTACAACAAATTATAAAATATTTTATACAATTTGTTTGCCATTAGATTAACAGATGAGACGGTGATTAGGATTAACAGAAAAATCAGTGTTTTTACTGAATTAAAACTTTATTTATGGTTAAAATAGATGAATAAATAGTCGTTTAAAATAATATCACAAATAAAGTGACAAAACAATATTCAAATTAACAGTAATTTAAATTGAAATTCAATATTAATAACAGAAATATATTGTATTTAATATGCATTCAAAGTATTTCTACTTTGAATAAAAGGTTGAGATTTTGTTTACAATGATTTCAATGTTCTTCAGTTGAGTACTTCTCGACAACAACTTCGGGAACACATTATCTCTAAGATCTGTCCATCGCTTGAATTTGTATTCAATGACAAGCATTTGAAGCGCCGGTAGTCTTGAGATGAGATCCAAACTCGTGGCGGTTATAAAGCTCTTCACGTTATGAACGCATAGACACTGAAGTTGTGGACAATTCTTGCGAATCATTGCAAACACTTTTGCGTTCATTTCGACAAAATCGATGTCTAAATGCGTTAACCGTCGGCAGTGTCTCAACGGATCCAACGATATCTCATCGACGGTCACATAAAGTGTTAAATGCAATCGTTTTAATCGCCGGTAATATCGCAACGAATCCAATGTCTTGAGATTGAATTCCTTACTTCTGGAGCAGAAATCAATTGACAATCGTTTCAATTGTTTGCAATTCACGCCAATTGTCATCAAAATGTCACCGAAAGAGATCTGATCGCCGGATGTCCACCACTTGAGCCGCAATTCCCGTAATTGTGTTAAACGCGACAACTGTTCCGACACTTCCGTCAAAATCTCTGGAGAAATGGATCTATTGGTCACAAACGCAACACTTTTGAGGCACCGATTCTGTGCCACGAATGCTGACAATCGGTGTTCGTCTGAATTGTTTGAATAGAAATTTAACTCAAATTTCTGCAAATTCTTTGCCATTAGTTTTCCCGAAGAGATGTCAAAGACTTGATCCAAAGAATAGGCCCTCAATTGTGACAATCGGTGGCAATGATTGAGTGATAGGCACTCAACGCAGCCGTAAATATCGCCGATTCGTGTGACGAGTGGTCCCAAAGAGCGGATCCATTGGTCGCTATTTCGCCATAAATTGCAGTAAATTTGCCGCAAATGAAGACATTTGTGTCGAAATGTGTGCAAAACTGTTGAAACGCTTCCATATCTGTTGCGTATTCCTCGACAGTCAATGGTCTCAATGTTTGCACACTTTATGGCAATTGTGGCCAATATTTTGGTGTCAATTGTCTTCACATTAAATGTCAATAAATTAATGAATCGGTCGTTGATATCGATGTCGACCACACTCTTGAAGACAGTCTTCCGGAACCGTTTGGACACACATTCGTAACGGAATCGGTCGTCGAATGACAGATAAGACAACAATACTTGTGACAACTCATCACCGAATCTGTCCATTGAGTTCTTCGGGTAATTCTTCGCCTAAAATATGACACAAAAAACATTAAAACTCAATAAACAGTGAATTGTTTGTCCAAAACCTGTTGTGTATTGTCTTCGCGGGTGTTATTCGTGATCACATGTGATGTCCTCTTCGGTGTCAACGGTTGCGCCATATCTTGGGATCCAATGAAGTGATGGTTTGACTGAAATTATATTTGAATTGTGTTTCAAATCAAAACAAATGATTAAAAGTTACAATTAGTTTGAAATAATAACGAGTGTTGACTGTATTGTTAATAACGCGCGCAAAAAGTTTATGAAATTCACAAATATTTTCATAACAAATGCATACAAACTGTACTCTTATTATACGGACTGTTATATAGTTTTGTTATGTTTTAAATCCCTAAAACACTGTATTACAGCATGACCTTGAACAAAAATAGACCTTGAGAATCTGATTAATTAAAATATGACTGGATAGGTATGA